ATGTGTCTATATATTTATATATATACACTGATATATGTATATATACTGATATATGTGTATATATATATATATATATATATATATATATACATACACACACACACACATATTTATATCACTAAATGATCACATAATTCATGTAGGTATGTATTAATTATATGTTAATATCGTTATAAATGTCGAAAAAGTCTAAACTACGTACGCGTGTTTCATTTCGCTAGTCTAGTATGGCGTACTAATTGGCTAATGTTAAGTCCAGCAGTACGTAATGAAAAGAAATCTTGAAGTGTAGGTAAGAGTACACTAAAATTCAAAAGATACTATTCGCAGGTACAGCAGTCAATATATTAAGGACATATAAATATATTATATATGTATATATATAAAGAGAGATAATTATATCTGCAAGTACACACATAACATACAAAAATAAGATTCACTCTCGTACTATCTACCGACTAATCTACTGTTCTAAAGAGAATCGATCTATTTTTCTATAAATCGGCGACATTGAAGGAACGATTAGATTGTTGTCGGTCCTTTAAGGACGCCCATTGACTACTTTCTCTATGACCACTTAAATTCAACTTAAATGACACTCAAGAAACATTTTTTATAAATAAGATACTTATAGTGAAACGGTCGAAGTTCTATTTTTATTCGAATTTTTATTTATAGCCTAAGCATCGGCTAAGATGGCCAACTTCCTAAAATATTATTATAGAAAACAATGATTGATTAAAATATTTATTCTCAATATTCAAAGTTTTTTACCGTGACGATAACATCTCAGAAATAAATAATTAACATCGTTGGCTATCTTAATACGATCTAAATTAATTACTGCGAACGTTAATTACAAAGGTTAGTCGGATAATAATTTTCTTTTACTACTGACTGTTTCTAATTGGAGACTATGTAAATTTATTTAGCTCGAGTTATCTAATTTCTCTACGCTCTTATATCACTCCGGAATGACGATCATCGACCAAGACTAAGATCGATTTATTTTTGTCGTTGTTTTAAATGAAATATCCATCTATCGATACTTGCTGAGACTCAAATGAAAGGTCGATGAATTTTCATTATTCCGTGGTGATTATTGTTCTAGGAGTTTACTATGGATGTAACATTAAAAACCACTTTATGTACGACGACGTTATCTAAGAGACAGTAGGTTTAGGTAGATGGTAGATTACTCGCCCCTAGGTGATACTGCATCTTCGGGGTAGTCTTCATCATCGGTCTCGGCAACAGCCCGTCTTGGCTTGTGTCCCCTCCTATTTTACTTTGCGTAATTCAACTCGAAATTCGTTTATCCTATTTCTTTTGTGTATACGAACTGGTATAGAGGTAGACCCATAGCTCGTAGAAAACGACTTTCGAGATTCAATGAAGCGACTCATGTTGTGAGAATAAAGACATGTCCGTCCAAACGGAAAGATTTTATAAAAGGAAATAAAAATTGACCACTGATAAAGAAAAGAAGATTCCAAAAAAAAAGAAAGAAAGAAAGAAAAAAGACACGTTGTACGTTAAACGAACGGTTTACTAACAACGTAAAGTATCTTCCGCAGAATAATCGTGAAAGACGATTTTTGTTACTATGGGTTACGTAAAAATGAAAGAAATAAGGAAAGAAAAGAGAGAGAAAAAGACAGGAGCGCTTCTTCATGTTTCAACCGACTTCAGTTTTCACTAGAACTACGCGCATTCTCAGAGAAACGCGAAAGCATGCAGAACGCTCACTTATTAAATAACAAGTTGTATTTTGAAAACGTACGAATTTCTGAAAGTTAGATACGAGGGTACGCGTAGCGAAGAACAAACCGGCGAGTACTTTATTTTTCCATCGATGGAAAGTCCTTTCCACGGATTGCACAATCATTCGGATCGGAAAAGGATCTGGAAGTACTTTTGCTTTCTTTCTATGCTACGTATTATACAGACGCAGAAAAATCTTTCGATTTACGCCCCTTCAAACGGGTCTAATAAAAGACGTTGGGCTAAGTTCTAGTGAAAACTAATAATAGCATTAGGCTGAAGTACTCATACGAATAATAAAAGTGGAAGTTCTGGAAGTAACTAGTTACTATGAGCTAGGCAGTCATCCAACACGAGTACGAGATACAGGTTTTCTGTTTTGTGTGTACGTGTATATATATGCGTGTGGTTTTGTGTACATATTAACAAAGTAATCAATCTCTCTTATTACGTTACTTGTGTGCTATTCTATATACTAGAAAGAAGAGACGTACGATATTTATATATGTAAGTAGACTTGTTTTCAATGAAAGGTATTACATTATTTGGTGTATTTTATGTAATATAGACGGGAAAAAAATTTTTGGAGAATTTAATAACGTGTTTATCGTCTTATTTTTATTGATTATTTAATGATCGAATTTTTAGCAAGCATCGAAGAAGCGAAAAGTATCGGCTTTCAATTATAATTCGTCAAATATGAAAATTTCCATTTTAATTGGAAGATCCGAATAATTTTTGTTATTTATATTGAATGAAAATTCATAGCTACTTAGAACAATAGGGTATGTACAGGTTATATAAAAAGGTGGATAGAAGAAATATCCAAAGATTCTACTGAATTTCACAAGCCTACAATCCTTAAATCGCTTCTTCGATACTTACCCTGTACGAATCGCAACTTTTACCTGAAACATTAATTATCTTCATAATTAAAATTCCGTCTGGTCAAGTACCGCGCACGGATCGTACCTCTCAAATGGACGGGATTATGCATCGCGAAAGTGGAAAAATCGATCTGCCCGTTTCTTGAGTGATTTCATTTATTATGTTTTCCTAATTGATTGCGCGATGTACAAGAGTCCGATAATGACACTTCAATTGTTAGATTCTATATTTTCAACAAAAAAATACCTTCATAACGGATTAAAAACAAAACTATAATGCATTATACAATATTTTACATTATCATTTTCTCAAAACGCATATCCGAAAGTATGAAAAAGAGATCTAGGAATAATAAGGTTAACGATATTTTTAAAGACTCGAGCGAAAAACATTTTATTTATATAGCATAAAATTCATCTGAAAATCCAATCACATTAAACAAGTAGAACAGCGACTTCGATAAAGATAAAACGATTCGTCAAAGGATGAACGATCTTACGGGGCTAACGTTTACTCAGTATAATTACTTGCTCGCGTATTTCTGAGTCCATCAGCTGCATATGCATTTCCTATGCTTTTGATCTTTTCTTTTTTTTTCTCTTCGCGCGAGTTGACAGTATCGCTAACGTACGTTTGATTTTCATCAAGGTAATGATAAACCGCTCGGGAGGAACAACGAACAAAATGGATGCACAACTAACATTCGACGTTTTGTATCCTAGGCATTCCATAAGAGAATATTACATATAATATTATTATTATTATTATATATATATTATATATATAATATTATATATGTTATATAATATTATATAATATTATATATATATTATGTATATTATATATAACGAAAAATTTAATAAAATACTATCGTCAACAATGCTCGAGCTAAGGGTACCTAAGATAACTAATTGGCAACAACGGCAAACGACTCGTATCCAATCAATTAAGTACGTATATAAGGTGGAACGTATAAATGTTGATATTTTTTTATTTATGTATGTGTTATTTTGTCAAGAGTGTTGCCCTAAATTTTAATATATTTTAACAAACATTTTTCAAGACAGAACGATCGAATGATATTGTGTTTCCGAGAAATCTCGTGATTAATAAGTATTTATAAACAATAATAGTACAAGTTCATCCGAATTTAAGGATCATAGTGATGAGTATCATTTTTCATGTAGGATACATTATTTTGCGATCGATAAGAGAGTTTGCAGTGATAATAAGAAAAACTTTTAATTTTAATTATTTAAAATTATTAAATAGTGGAAAGTGTATTTCGATGATAGTATAACAAAGTTTCAGATACAAGATGGAACGAATCAAAGTAGAAAGTTTACTATCAATTTACTTAGGAAGAAACTGCATGCACCTCTCACTACTTGTTCGCGTAACAACGACTTTCGGTATCTTGGGTGCGTGTTCTTCGAGTACGAAAATGGTGACTGGCAATCCCGATGCAATGGCATTTGGGATACCCTTAGTGTTGACTGTGTGTATATGCATGGAAAGTGGGTACGTACTACGTACTACGGATTACGGTTACCGTCAACACGAGCGAGAACACGAGAACTTGGTGGAACAACCTGGCACTTTGGGGTTGAAGCTTACCGGTGCAACCCCCGCTGGGGCTCACGGACACTCGACCCACCCTTGGCCCCACTGCGCGGTACACAACCGCTCCTACCCAACAAGAGATATCACCAATCTTACATAATGTATACTTCTTCCATTTTTTAACAAGATTACAACTTTAAAATATTTAACCGATAAATACTTTATACAGAAAGCGAGGAAATAGTGGAATATATAAACTGTTCTAAAATTACGTGATATAAAAACGATATAACTCGTGTATGATTTACGATATTTAACTTATTGTTCTGTCCAAGAGATTCCTTTTTTGTGATTTTATTAGTCAATAAAACTGTTTCTTCTTTTTTTGATGTATAAGTGACTTTTAACGTATTACTTTAGAACAGTTTCTTATTCCTATGAAAATGATCCTTAGAAATTGTGAGTACGATCTTATTTGTTTAGTGTGTTGTTATTGTTGGTAAGAGAAAAGCAGACAAATGATCAGATTTTTTCGTTTTCTTTCATATCATACCAATCGTGCTGTGACACCTAGCTCATAATAACTATTTCTGACTGAAAGATTCCGTTATATACTTTGTACCGGAAGAATTCGATTACTTATTCCTATTTTCTTTTCTTTTTTTTTTTTATTGTAATGGAAAAAAAGAATTTCAGAACTATGAAGTTCTTACTCTACCGATCGTTGTAATTCTTCCAGCACAAGAAATCATGGAAGTTTCATTTCCTCTTAATATAGTCCTCTCTTGTTTGCGTGGTTTTTTTATTTATTACAGACATTCATTATTTATAATTCTTAGTCGTTATAATAATAGAGCTTCAGCAAATCATTACACTGTGTCGTTAATATGTACGCACATGTAAATAAACTTATTCTCTCATTTAGCTCCAGAATGATTTCCGATGGACATCAAGCATTATGTTATCGAGTACCCATTAAACATTTACAAAACTTTCGCGTTTTGTTATTTTTGTTTTCCTTTTAATCTAATTTTCGTCATCTAGTTGGTAATCATGAATTCATGATAAATCGCCCAAACTTTTACCGATCATTCAACAAATTAATAATTAAATGCCAAAGTTATTCTTTTCGCCAACGCGTTTAAAATGAGCGCTACGTATCGTGAGAAATATGTGTGTGTGTATATATATGTATATATACATATATATGTATATACACATATATATGAATTACGATACATTTGAAACTTTCTGTGCGAGAAAACTCGAAATTATTACCTAAGAAATTTGTATAAACGACCGAGAGAAGCGAATAAATGCGCGAGATAATTAACGCAAATTGAAATGTTATCGATATAATTTTTCTGAGACGCCGAAAATATAATTGGAAGTATAGATTTTGACGTAATATGTGAGATGCACAATTACTATAAATAGATATTTAAAAAGAGTAAATACATATGTGTGTACGAAAATCTTGATAAACTTGTTAGCTTCGACGTCTTTTAATAAGTATACAAATAATTGATTAATTTCAAAACTTGAAAAGACTTGCAAGTTTGATATAAACATTGCGTTATCATCTTGGACGGTATATAGTAAATACATATATATATATATCCAATGTTTCCTGTTCATCACTTAATTTAGCCGTAGTGATCGATAAAAAAGAGAAGAGTTTTTCGAGTATTCTCGGAAAGTCAGAATTTGCTAATCGCGTTGGTGAATAAGGAATAACGTCGCGTAAATCACAAAAAATGGAAAAGAGTCGATCGGTAAAGTTGATTCGTTACTTTGGGCAATATATTTTATCCAATCCCACGCGCGATCACAGCGATATAACAACAATCTTACGAATAGCAACAATCAGACCATAGCTCGATAACGTTAACCGCGCCGTTAATTTTATATGTTACATGCCAACAAAATATATCCATAAATATTATTTTGATTGACGGTGATAAAGAACTTCTTCGATAAGGATCATTTGCGAACGTAAAAAAGAAACAGAGAATAAGTTCTGGAATGAACTTGTGCTGTGCATGGTAGATACGCCATGCTATTATTATATTATTATGATCATTCATGATGTAATTTCTTTTTTACGGTGACGTTAACGCGAACGAACTATAGCTGCGCATAAAAGTATCAATAATATCGTTTTTTTTAAAGCATTAAGTGTTATTAACAAATGTATAAGCTCAGGACAGATATGCGGCCTCTTGACTTCTGCATATTCTCCCTGCGACATAATAATCGTCTTGCGCAATTCTTAATTATTTATGATTTTTTTTTTTTATCGTTTTCCTTTTCTTATCGATTTCTTCGAGTTGGCCTTCGCTCTAGCGAAATAATTCATTTAAGCGATTATAATTTGATAGCTGCTTCGAATGAATTTTTTTGATTGATATAATATCCTTAGCTTCATGGAGGGGATAAGGACGGACAACATGGTCGTCGTCCTTTGTTATTACACAAGTAATTCGACGTGACCTTTAAAGTTAATTATATTTTAAAACATTTGATCTCTTCTGTTGGGAGATCGCCTCGGTCACTCTTTCAAAAACGACAACTCGAAAACAGAACAGAAATCGAATCACAGCTTTTCGTGAATTATGATATGCCATAACGGGAAAGAGAGGGTTGAATATGTTTGGGAACGAATATGACTCGTAAGAAGTTAGCAAACAAGAGCAAGGTGAACATTTTTTCTCTGCAGCATAAAATGGATGTACATTTTTTTCGATATTTCTTCGATGTCGAGATTAAAATATAGCAAAATGTTCTTGCTCTTTCGTTTCCTCGGTATATATCACAGGGTAACAGAAGAGAGAAATATCGGATATTGGACAGGCATTTATAGCTAAGAGAACATGAGAGAAGGACGTGTCAGAAAAAGCACAATTTCTGCCAATGATCTTTGGGCGGTTCGTTACAATACAGTTATTTATCTTTTTCTACGAGGTTTGGTACTCTCTTTCTTACATTGTTATTTTCGCCTAATCTGGCGGATTCCTTACTTTATGATTAGTATTATTTAATTTGCTTTGGATTAAAGATGGATGTGTCCGGACATCAACATCCTGACGATCCTTTTTAAAATTTTCGAAATTTCTGTCGATCACTTGATGTTCGCGTTTGCAACATTTCATGTACATTCGTACGATAAATTTAATATATATTTTTATTCAAAATGAAAAGATAAGAATTCTTTAAAATTCAATGAAACGTTTCGCTTATTAAAACAGAGAGTGAAAAAGGAACAAATTTCTGTATGTAAATATGTACATGTATACATCCATGTTCTATCCAGTCAATATAATATAAATATTCTAATAATTCCACTTTATCGATTGAACTTACAAACTTAGTGAAATTGAACTGAATTAAACTTGCTAAAATCCTAATGGCAAACTGCCAGGAACGCATTCATGGTCGACTTATTAGGCATCGGCAGGATGCTTCGGTTCAAACACACAGAAACGCCTCTATCGTTTATATCTAGACGACCTAAGCTAAATGTTTTCGATTAAGGTGTTTAGTTTATAGAGATTACATAGAACGTGACTACATTTCAACCACTACAAAGATCAACGTCTACAAGAGAAAGAGAGAAATAGATAAAAGGGGTGATAAAAGGAGTAGTGTCACGGAAAAATAGAATAAGAAACGTCATTGGTTTCTTCAATTATATTTTTTTTCGTTTTTAACGAAGGATAGATGGAACAGGTGTGGAAGGGAGTTTTAATTAAAGGAAGACATAAAGAACGAGTTATTCGTATAGGAAGATATAAGGACCGTGATCAGGGTGTGTACAATTATTATTTAAAATTTAAATCTTCTCTATGTGAAATTCTTTTGCGGAAATTGGCTTCTCAACTTTATGGCATTATTTTCGCAAAAACAACTACCTTTGAAACCTACTACAAATCTATTGTTGTATGTGCTTCATAGATTTATATTTATCTTGCTACTTTCCCTCCCCTCACACACGCACAACGACAAAGGTTAAAAATGTTTTCGATACAAGTTTCCGCTATGCTTTCTATGGAAGATATTGAATAATAAATGGCTGCTGGCAAGGCTGCCGTGATTTGACATACCTAATTCGATCGAGCTTTTCTTATCGATCGAACGAGACTGATGAAAATAGAGATATGTCTGCGTATCGCTTCTAGGATACGGTATTTTGATGAAATAACGTTATTAAATCTGTGTCCGAATGTGTTTTCTAGACGTTTAAATAAAAATAAGGAAGTTCTTTCTTTAATACACGTGCCGGATGCCATATGAAAATGTTAAAATTTAAGCATTAATTAACAGTAAACGCGCCTTTTTCTCAAATGCAAATTAATACGATTAATCCTTCCGCGTCGCTTTTAATTCAAAGGAGAATGCGTAGCCTTGCCAGTGGGCATACTAGATTTGGACGTGCATTTCCTTTACTATTCACTTTTTCACTTTTCTCAACATGGTAATGTAGCCAATATTGTATGTGCATACATACATCTAAAGGAGAGAAAGAGAGAGAAAGGAAATAGAAGGACGAACAGAATAACGAGAGAAAGAGTGAGCATCAAGTTTTCAGTACGGCTCCTTTCCGAATAAGAACGCTCTACGTTTATTTTCATTAGTTTCACTTTCTCTCAATTTCTTTTTGTTTTAATGTAATTTAGTGTGTTTTAGTTTTTATCTTTATTTTATTTATTTTTATTTCTTCTTGTTTTTGTAATTTCTTTTTATCTTGTATTTCTCTCACTCAATATCTTCGACGAGCACAAAAATGCTTTCAGAAATATTTGTTGCAAAGCTTCGCTTTATACAAATTTTCTTTTTCAAAGATATTCCTTCTCGAGCTTAATTTGTGTAGGTGTAATTACATATACGTGCGATGTATGTAGACATGTGCATTTATACGTGTGTGTGTGTGTGTATGTGTGTGAGAGAGATTTTTGTTGCGTACGCGTGTGCCGATTTTTTTTTACACTTATTTGATGTTATGGCAATACCTAATGGAATGGGGGTAGAGGCAGTCGACGCTTTGCTTGACGAAGGACCACTGAGTTTGCCAGCCATGCGTCTGTGAACATTTTCGTAACTTCCGGTCAAGAGATCTACGTAAGAACTGGACGTTTCGTTTTAAATTGAATGTTAAATATTTCTCCTATGTAGAAAAATTAATTAACAGAAAAGGTATCTTTTAATTATGACGTCCAACGTTGGGGAAGGTCACATTTCGTTATATTTATTCGAGAAAATTTTTCGGATTTACTTTTATACATTATGTTTTTTTCTTTTTTTATTTTACACTTACCCAACACTGTCTCGATAAACAGAATCGATAACAGAATTTCGAGTTATATAAAGCTTGCGTTAAAGTCACATGGCACGCAATGTGGCGAAGGATGAAGAAATATCTGAACTCGTAGACTCAAAATCTAGCAGATATTTAAGTATTACGAGTTGATCCATCTCCACTATGCTTGTCACTGGACTATTTTGGCAAGCTGCAACTTTAAATTTGAATCATTTTTATAGGGAACATATTGGAACGTAAAGAGCCTTTGTATTGACCGTATTTAATATAGAAGACAATGGTATTCCAAAACAATCGATTATTTGTGATTGATATATTTGAATAAATTTACACGGGTGATTTGGTCGCTTATAGGACACCCCTTTCTCTTTTCGTTTATATTACTTTTCATATTAATATCTTCATTATGTACAATATTTGTGATAAATTTTTTTCGTAGATTGGCATTTATTTAGATTCATCTTTTCTTTTTTCTCTTCTTCCTTAAGAATATACCTTTTTAGTAAATGGACGTTTTAGCATACATCGAAGAAGGAAAAAACGAACCGTAAAAACGGATCGGAGCAAAACGGCGAATAAATGTAAATTGGAACAAGTTCAATAAAAAAAAAGAACGTGATCCATACGATTGAAGAAAGTCCGTGAAAACGAGCAGGGCGTAAGATAACAATAGAATATTTTACGATTCAGTGAACAATCGTATTATTCCATAAAAAAGTGTTAAACGAAACGGTGAAATATATTTACGTAACTATGCAAGAGTATTCGTATTCGTTTGCATTTATCAATTTTTGAACAAACCGTGAATCTTCGCGAGTGAACGTTTCTTCTTGGATTTTCTGTCGATCAAATTTGGTTATCGATTAAAAAGTTTTATCACATCACGGTCATTTCCAATTTTGCCGATTATCAAAAATATCTGCGAAGTGACATGAACAGAATTAAAAATCATTTATAATCTAGTTTCATAATGTAATAGCCATGAACGGTAGAATGGATGTCGCGCGTTACCTTATAGCTCGTTATTCAAACATTTAACACATTTGATGAATCATCATTGTAAAAGTGAATAGCATTTAATCAATAGGACATACCAATTTCAACAAATATGAACAATATCAATATTAAATTTATATTCTCTTCATTGTATACATATATGTATAATCTTCAAATTGTTATTTATAATTAATGTGGGTGTATGTGCGCGCGAGTGCTTATGTATGTGCGCGCGCGTGTACATAAGTCTGTATATGTATATTCATGGACATATGCGAGCGTATATGAAAATTAGCCGTCTTGCGAAAATGAACGGTCAGCCATTTATTCATTAATTAACGCATCAACAATCTAAATGAGTTTTCTCAAAGAAGAAAACATCACTGACCCTTTCACCTATCAGGATAAAATTCATAATCATAGGCACGTATATTCCGCATCGAAAAGCTGTACAATATAGTATGTACAGAAATATCGCGAAGGACACGCTTTCATCTAGACACGTTTAATGTTATTTCATTCTTACTCGCATTTCCGTCAACATATCTACTGTATATCGTTCATTGACAACTATAACGTACGCGAAGACAGTGAATTCGAAGATGAAAAAATATCACGGTGTATATAAAACGTGCTTTAGCACGCGATTATCCTATCCAAAGAGAACAAAATTACTTCCATTATGGAATAAAGTAGAAAATATTTAAATTATATTCAGGTAAGAAAAAAATTTTGTCGAAAGAATTATTAAAATTTACACATTTTCGAGTTAGCCTACATTTGAAGAGGAATAAAAACAACGAAGAAAGTGATGAATAATTCGAATGTGGATATAATCAAGAAAAACGAGAGATTACGAATGGAGAGAGATCACGAGTGTTAGTAAAAAGAAAGAGAGAGAAAGAGAATGAATCAAGACTAGCTCGGGAGCAACGAAGAGGTACAATAACCCTTGGCACCCTTTATTCTACCCCATTTCTTCCTCCTTTCTTCCCTCTTTTTCTATTTTTCTTTCAGACCACCATTCCATGGTAACGGAAACCGACGATTTATTGCGTGGCGCAACGAGCGCACACGGTAACACGTTACGGTAATGACTATGAAATACGATGGTGCACTTCTTTTACCAAAGTTCCTACCACCGGCCCTTTTCGGGGTTGCAACCACCCATCGAGTTCTTTTATGCTTCGAATCATCCCCACAAGACTCATCGTCCTTCATCTTTTCTGATAAGCGACCACATCGTTTCTCGTTTTGAGTTCTTAATGCGGTTGCGTTGTAAAAGCCGAAGTTGAAATTTCTCCGTTTCGTTCGAACGTATTTCTAGTTCTTTTATTCAAAATATATATAGTACAAAGCGGTTTTGTAAAAACATGAGCATCGAAAGTTGGGAAACAGCGCCGCGAGCCGACGTCGACCGATTAATTTCTCGATTCACGCAAGAACGTGCCGATTGTTTTGCCCGACAGGCTTTTCAATTTGCAAAGAGAACGAGAATAAATATCGGCACGCTCGGACTGTCTCAAACAAAATAGAAGGTTTCGATTGGTTAGGCTAGTTCTTCGTAAAACGTTTTATATCGATTGCAATTCGAACTTTTCCCTTTCTCTCTCTCTCTCTCTCTCTCTCTCTCTATCTCTTTGTTTTGTTCCTTTCCTTTTTTTAGCTTCTTTTTTATTAGCACGAGAGACATGTCGAACATGATAGTTTTCGGTTCGATTTAGCCCGCGTGAATTCGATCGCATATAGAGAGAGGCAATAAATTTTAACGCGTTCTATAAACACGCAGAAATAAACGTTCGTCGTTGGACATTGGACGCGTAACGATGATACGAGAAGACACATTCGAGCGAATAGGTAATTTCACGACCATTGTCACGCTCTACGAATTGTACAAATTTGTTTTCTTAGAAAAGATCGATTATATTTAATTTCTTGTTTCTTGAATATCGAGAAAGAATAAAAAGAGCTGGTATGAAAAATAAAGAAAATCAGAGAAGAACAGGGAACTTTACTAGTATATGTATACTATGTGAGCGAGTTCATCGAATCGATGGCAAGGAAAAAAAATGAAGAGATCCTTCCGAATCCTCGCTCAGAACCTGGCACTATCCAAAGGGGCATCAAATTATATCGTTTTGAAATCCTTATTTGGGAATAGATAGGGAGAGAGTCGTTATCAGAATTATCTTCTGAAGACGTCGTCGTCGTTGTAGTCGTTACTGTGTTTATTCAAGCAGCATTATTCCGACACAAGAGGTATATGGAAACGTTGCGTCTCGTCAGTTGTCGCAAAAGAACGTGACTGGGATGAATACTTTTCTATCGTCTCAGGAAGATAGATTCGTTACGATTTCAGTGTTTTGCAAGACACTACTCGTACCGCATAAAGGAAAATAAGATAGTATCATACTCCCTCTTTCTATTCCGATTGTACTCTTCATACAACCGACATTCGCGTTTAATCAAAAGTCACGCGACTGTCTACGTATCCTCGTACGTTATATCCTTGTCTTTCTCCCTCGATTTTACTTTTTTCTTCCTAGCCAGTCTAGTCTCATTTTTTAATGGTTCTACGCCGTTCTCGAATTCGTTTGAGGGTTTTACAACATTCCGGAAGCTCATTGCTCGGCAATGATTCTGTACTCTGCGGAGTAGCCGTGTAGTGACGTATCTCCGGCTGCTATGGGTGGTAGTCCCAAGGCACCTGAAAGTACCACCAACTCCCTAAGTCCCTAGTTTCCAACTTTTTATTGCTTTTCGTGCGATTGTTTCGTTTTATTATTTTGCATTTTATTTTATTTTTTCCTCTTCGTTCAAAAAAATCTCTACGTGCAGCTTCAAGGGTAAGTAAATTTGCCATTGCTTTCTTTTATATTTCCTTTGTCACACTATGTTAAAGTCTAGTCTAAGCTCGGTAGCCATTGGACGAAGCCAGTTGAATTGTGCCGGAGAAACTCCAAGTTTTGTTGCTCTCTTGATTTCAAGTTCCTCCGAGCTTTAAAAGCACATTGTTATGACGAAGATATCTATACGCGATACACAAAGAACGTCTCGCTAGACGAATGTTTTTCGGACGTTTGAGAATATACATGGACGAGTTCGAAGGGATTAGTTTTTATCTAAAGAGCGATCAATCGTCGCGAACAGAATCCTTCTACGGCCATGCCTCGTGAACCATATGCAGCAAGATATTGAATTTGGCAACGTAATTTCGTTATTGCCTTAAAGTTGAATTATTAAAATAAGTTAAATAAAGTGTAGCCCAGAAAAGAAAATCGATTGGAAAAGAATCCTCGATGTATAAAAGTATACACATGAACGTGAAATAACGTTAAGATCTTATTTGTGTGGAATGCTGGATAAAAGAGTCGGAGGGAGACGGAAGAGGTTTTCGAGGAAGAACAAACGTCCGAAAAACATTGTGCATTATTTATGAGTTTTTCTCCCACCCTATTTCGCGCTTCGAAGATTGTCAATGCACGATCGAAGCACTCGGAGGAACTATAGGCAGACGAGCTTGTTGTGTTTGGAAAACAGCGGCATTGTCGAAGTTGCCGAAATGAAATCCTTGCTTAAAATAAACAACTCCCGACTTAGCAAGACACGATGAATTTGAATCAAGTAATACTTCAATAATGAAACAAAGAACGCAAAGATATCGTATTTTCATTTTTCTCGGATAAAACTCGTGTGAAAAATTTCTAGATATATACAAAAAATGACTATGATGGCACATCGACCGCAGTTTATCCGGCACAGTCGTTGTTACTTGTTATTACTTTTTTTATGGCATGTTCAAAATACAGGGAGCGATAGTTACACGTTGTTCAGCTTGGAAGAAGTATGGGGTATGAAGTCTCAAAGGCAACCAAACTTTCTATAACTCGCCTTCTCGACAAATTCACGCGTAGAACAAAGGAAGATACTGGTAAGTGAAACGAAAAAGAAGGATGGGAAGAGAAAAATAAAGAAAAAGAAACGAATAAGAAGAAAAAAGAGAGATAAAAATAGAGAGATAGAGATAGAGAGATAGATAGAGAGAGAGAGAAAGAGAGAGAGAGAGAGAGAGAGAGAGAGAAATACAGAAAAGGAACAAACGAAATTGGTCAGACGTTGAAGAAAAAGAAAATAAAGATGTGCACAGTAGATGGAAAAGGCAACGGTAGCGTAGCGCATAGAAAAAAAAAGTTACCAGGTTGGTGGATTGGAAGAAGCTTCAATGATATTAACGTTCGAGGAGCCAACCACGTACATATTTTTATTATTTTATTCTTCTTTTATTTTTCCCGAAAAGCTCGCATTTATAGAAAGTATCTGACGTAATCCAAATTCTACCAAAAAGAAATACATACGCACAATGAACTTCGATTTGTCGAGCTTCTAGTTATTGAAATGTTCATAAATAATATCATGAAAGAAAAAAAAAAAGAATGGAAAAAAACGATTGAATGTGTACATAGGAGAAAGGGGGATAAAATTGCGAATTTCCAGTAGGCACGCAGGGTCTTTCCCCTTGCGATAATTCGAAAGTTCCATAGCCAAGCCTTGACGAAGTCGATGATCGAATCGAAAAGGGGCCGATCGACGGCAATTTTAACGTCGAGTACAGTCGTAGTGACGATTCCATTTCAGGGCTCCTTGTGACGAGATGTTTCAGCATTTTCATTTCGAGTTTGAATCGAGGTCTCGAAGAGCACTTGACCCCGAAAAAAATCTGTCGACTAGCGCTCGCAATCAGCATACTTCGATTTTGATCGTCCCTGATATCGAGATAGAGACGTATACTTTTATCAAACATTTCCTATTAATCACCACGCGTGCACACACATCATGTGTGTGTGTGTGAGAGAGAGAGAAAAAACGCATCTTCCTCTCGCGTATCGTTGGCAATCGATACTCTTTCTCTCTCTTTATTGATCTCTTTCTCTCTCTCTCTCTCTCTTTCTTTCTCTCTCCTTCTTTCCCGCTCTTTCCCTATAACCTGCTCTCGTTAACTCCTACTGGATATTAACAATGTCATTTTACTCTATTCTGCGTCCACGTAATTAATTTTAAATTGTGATCGATCTCATTATCTGCCCCGAAACTCCAGCCTAACTTAAGCGAAATCAATTTCAGTAATACTTGTGAAACTTTCAACGACGGTCTGATAATTTTGACGTGGCTTTAAACTCATTATTGTACTAAAAATCAGTTTCCAAGCGTTGGTTCGTCCCTTTTTCGAGCACCAGAATAAAAATAAAAGTTTTTCGTTAGGAGCTACAATAGAACAAAATAGTTATATGCTTTTAAATGGGAGCGATCGGAGTATTCGTATTTGTTATTCGAAAATGAATTTATCGGATCTCGAATTACTTATGAAAATAATTACTTTCCCTAGAAGAATCATAACGTTTCCATGATACGAAATCCAACGTGTTTTTTATCTTCTACGTTCGGAAATTTTACGATCACGTCATTATCACGAAAGTCTATTAGGTCTGATAATTTTGTCGTTAATTTCGTTGTTACTCCAAGTTAGCAATTAGAATAATAAAACATTCATATTTTTATAAGCTAGCTTTTAAAAAGTGATCTCGAACTGTCTCCTCGCACGTTCATCGATTATTATCAACGCATTATATAATTCCTAGTGATTTGTACACATTCCTATTTGTTTCTGGGTATCGTCATCATAAATAAGATACTTCCATGTAAAAACAATGCATCGTCGTAATATCGTAGGATTTGGTACCGACCCTGTAACATGTAACATCTTTTCACGAGGAAGTCCAACCCAAAACGACGTTGTTATAATCATTTCATTCATTTTTAAACAACAACAACGATTTCACTCCTAATCTATCGCGTCCAGAATCTAATTAAACGAATTGATATTGGACGACATATATTGGTAATTTCATACTGTGCTTCTTTCTCTTTCTTCTTTACCGAGAGAAACCTTGGTTCTTATATTTTTCATTTTCATTTTTATTAGCTAAAACCAGAATAAAATGTTTTCGCGATATCACGGGTCATTGAACCTCGATTTGTTTTTCTTTTTTCAATCTCAGAATAGGATATCGTCGAAAAGCTAAAACGATTTTTAAACGATGAAGATACTTGTCAAGAGCTTCAACCATCCTTCTCGTAAATCTCTATATACTCTATATCTCGAGGGCTTGGTTGCGTCTGGTAAGATCTATTTCCAACGATCTTTTGCTTTCAGAGTACGAAAAAGAGGAGTAAAAGATACTAGCGAGCTAGCAGGTTGCTTCGAAAATATCAGCGAGCACTTTCATAAGTACACACATTGATGTACATTTTTCTTCGCATTCGTCGAAAAGTAGATAGGTTTCTTCGAGATTAAATAATGGGAAAGCGAGATAGATAGATAGATAAGATAGATAGATAGATAGATAGATAGATAGATAGATAGATAAGATAGATAGATATATAGATAGATAGATAGATAAATACATAGGTAGATAGATAAATAGATAGATAGATAGATAGATAGATAGATAGAGAGAGAGAGAGAGAAAGAGAGAAAGAGAGAGAGAGAGAGAGAGAGAGAGAGAGAGAGATAGAGAGAAACAATGTTCGTACTTGGCCCTAGATTCACGTACAAGGCTCCCGGCACGATGGGTATGGGTGATGACGATAGCACGGTTAGTTTGTGGCGATGGATTAGTGTGCGCATAGCTCGAGTCATTATTAAATAAATTAGTTCACAGAGGCATGGCGTTGTAGAGGTCCAAATTGGGATGATAAAAGAGTGGCGTGGGGGTAGGCGGATTGTGGTGTGGTGCGGGCTGCGCCTGTATGAGGTTCAAGTTCAGGTTCAGGGGCGCGATGTGAGTCGCATTATGGTGGTTAAGGTGGTTAAGGCTAAGGTGGTTACCTGTCGGGTAAGGTAGTCCGAAACTAGGGTACCCAGAATAGCCGCGGCTTGCCGCGTATGCCGCGTACGCCGCTGCTGAGAAACCTGTGAACAGAAAAATCAATTTTTCTTAAACTTATATCCTTTTCTCGTACTTGCCTAAAGTTTCTTTATCTCGCCTCTCGAAGAGACTTGGCAAAGAGGTCACATTAAAAGCGTTCTCCATCCTTCTACCTTTCTATAAGAGTTTATGCTCTATTGTTTACGATGTATAATAAAAAATGTATATTTCAAATACGTCTGTAACAATATTGCCATTCACATTATCAAAGACGTTTTAATGAAAATGTAGGTCAGATCGATGAACATTGATTTATTATTTGATCGTTCCATTACAATGCTTAACGCGCGCACCAAATAGGTACCTATATTAATAACATTTTTTTTCCTTTTACGATTCTACTACGATTCGATGGTTACGTACGCAATCATTCAATCATCGTGAATGGATATCGACGTATGCATGCAAATGGAAAGCGTCCACCTAGTTGAAACGTGATACCCGATATATATCCAGTAGATATTGAAACATGCATGGAGTGTCATCGTCGTTCATCCACATTTTACTGACGTTTACGATGTATTCTTCTCTTTATCATATTCAAAGTGTCTGATACGAAGACCTACCCGATAGCCATATAATATCTATTCGTCTACTTTTTGTATCGAATATCTGTACATATACTGCATTACTAAACATCTTGAGGAAGTTACAATATCTATATAAGGCACATATTTTCCGAATTTAAAATAAAGAGATATTTAATCGAATAGAATGTTTTAATACGTTAGAAATTTATTCAAATCATCAATACTTTTATCTAAAATATTCCAATTACATTATTTGTTATAAAATATAGGCATCAATTCAATATTTATAGACTACTTTGCAAAATGAATGAACGGCTATGATCGGTAAATTTAACGAACTTTATGATTAACTACCTACGAGCATAAAATTAATTAAATATTCTTTTATATGTTATACTCACCTTCTGGTATAGCTCCCACGGACCACATAAAATCTATAAGAGAAAACAAAGTCGATTATAATATTGGAACGAAATTATTAAGTGTATTTGATGTGTTTCATTTAGTCATTCTTTTCCCTTCGACTTGTTTTCAATTTTTTGAAAACGTCTCTTTGACTTAACGATCGAAATTTCTGCAACCACGTGGGAAAAAAAATATTGACTTGACCGAAATAAACGAGTTTAATGATATTCATCGAAAGTGGAAGTTCGTTTGATACGTATCATTCAATTCACTTCCATCTTACGTATTTTACGAGCATTCCATTGTCTATTCAATATTTTTCTCCGAGCAGGCAAAGGTATGCATAGACACTTAAAATATGTACATGGAGATAAGTCAAGTATTAAAGCGAAGCGTTGCAGAAATTCGTCGGAATAAATGGTTCGAGAATAACGGATGACTAGATTCATCAAACGATAAAAGTGGTTAGAAAAAAAAATTATGTGTGAAAAAGGATTAAAAGCTTTTCTAGGTTAGACAGTAGAGATAAGAAGAAAGAGATAAATCAGAAGAAAGAATAGAATAGAATAAGTGAAAGAATAGTGAAGAAGTAGAAGAAGAAAAAGAAAGGGGAAAGAGAAAATGCATCCATGAAATTTCATAATTTGATACTAATTCAAAGACCACACAACTAAGACTCTGGCTATGTATGTATGTATATCGCATTGTCTATATAGCGCGACTAAATTGTATAACAAGGTACTAGTAACTACGCGCGGCCGAGGTATTTTCAATCTACGACAAAATAAACCCTCCTATGATCTATGGTTATTGTAGCCTTTAAGGTATTAGTTAATCAGTTACCGTTAAGTAATATTTGCTAGGCTGACTATATAGCTTATTAGATATCGACTAAGGGTCGGCAATTGGTCAAGCATTTATGGCGGACAAACGGTCGAACCATCATTCGTTTTCTTAAATCCAAACGAATCATTTTTGTGAGTCGATCCTGTCAGCCACATGATGTGCGACTTATTGCCGACGCCACTACCACATTTATATTGACGATACAATATTTAAAAAAACACCGACCACAATACTACACTACTGATTTACTATTCTAGTGTTCATATCGATGTTGCTCTCACAATATACGCAGATGGAAAAGTATAAGAGCGTTTATTCTAGCCATAAAGATACACTGATACATATTAATAGTATTAGTGACTTTTTCCGTACCTAAAGTCTCTCTACCGGGCTGGTTTTGATTGCGTCAAGCGCTCAATATTTTTCTTTTTCTCTCGACATCGTCTTTTCTTTGACTCATTTTTTTCATTTTTTTTTTTATATTTTTTTTAAATTAATCGAACAACAATAAGTTTAGCTTAAATTAGCTATTCGATCGTTACTCTCGCATTTATTTGATTACCACCGAAGTTTTTCAAATATTATATTATGTTATATTATATATATATTGATGTTTTAATATATTATATATATTTATTATATATATATAAATTATATATATAGGTATAATATTTATATTTATTAATTATAGATCTATATATATTAATTATATATATATATTTATTTATATATAATATTGAAATATAAATTTATGCATACTATACATAAATATGTGCAATTCTTACATCGCAACGTATATATTTCTCAAGTAATATAGTATATGTACATATACGTGTACTTTCTCAGATGCAACAAAACGATTCCACATAGAGCAGACGTTTATGTACGATATTAACAGTACGATATTAATAGTCTCTCTCTCTTGCTCTCGCTTTCTCAAAGATTCGAAGTGCGAATAATACGCACTATGTTCGAGATTACCAGTGATCGATTAATTAACATTTGACATTTCTTCGTTGATAGCTTTTGTAGTAATATGGAATTCATCAAGTTTGTCTTGCATGGTCATAGACAACTTGAGATAGACCTGTCCAAACGGTTGTCTCGAGAAAGAAAATTTTGTATCAAAACGTCTGTGACAGAGGAAAAAACGCTTTGATCGATAGTGTCATGCTTCACCATTAATGCGAGGCACCACACCTCCTCCGTTGGACGTTTACGTTATATATTCAGGACAAAACCAAAATCCGGCCCAAAAAGCATTACAGAGTGAACAGAAATGAAACCGCATGTTAAAATCTGGTCTACTTACGAAACTGACAGTGTTGCGCCTCTCAGGCAAAGTACGTACTTTCTAGGACACACGTCTCACGCTTTATTATTAAGGTAAATGATGCTAAATAGTTTAGAACTGTTAATTACTGTGTAATGTGTATAATAGGGGGGGTTGAAAGAGATAAGATCAAATACAGGAAGAAGTTCGAGTAGGACAGGTGAGACAGTATGTAGCCGTGAAGCAAAAGTTTCGAGGATGTAAGGTACAGGTATGGAGATAAAGGATGTAAGAATTAAGAGTACAGGGTGTTGAGTCGGTAAAGGTCCAGGATATAGGTATAGACACGTATACGTAAGATATATATTTAGTGTGTATATCCTATAGAGAGGTATAATATTACTTGGCTATGTAACGTAGCTTGTTAAGTAGAGGTACAATGTAATAGGTTTCATTAAAGCCGCTGGCAATATGTATTCTCGGTGGAAGATGTACATACGTTTCTCATTTCTTGCTTTCCGTAATAATTGGTCCTTCTCGAACGGTGAACATCAAACGTGACTGAGATATTATACGAGCGTACGATAAGAGATAAGGAAACTCGTAAAAACAGTGTAAAGACATAACAACACAATTGTTCGACCTTATTTCCGTTCGAGATGGTTTGGTATGTACATACGATCAAGGTGTTTGCGTTTTGAGAAACGCTCGCAGACGAAGGATGCGTGATCTTCCACGAAGAAGTACCTAAAGTATATTCTAATCTAAAGATATTATAGTGGCTCCTGAAAAAAGCTAATAGTTCACTAGTAGTCTCAACGGTAGGAACGTATACATAGTATAATAATTCGCCAAAAAATTATTCGCTCTAACTATCCAACCTAGATCGCCTAGTCTCTCGATAATAAAACTAAGATCTGTAACAACACAAATGTTTACCTAGTTACCTAAATATGTATAGGTATATATATATATATATGTAGATAATATGTATATATAGATATAGAAGATATACTTCGATATGTATAACTGTAAGGTCTATTACAAAAAACTATAAGGTGTAATGCGACTCTCACAAAATATATCGATATTAATATCAAATACTATGGTGTTACCAAATAGGTAAATACAAAACAATATAATACGTATATAGTTTGCCGTTATCTAGAATGGATTTAAGTACGTATGTGTACAAGTATATATTTATACATATATATTTATGTGATCCATCCGCATATATGTGTATAAGTTTTACGTGATCCTTTTTGAAACAGACATATACCAGCGGATGGTTCAGACCCCGTGGCTTTTCTTCTCGAATTCTCGTACGTCGTAAGGAATACATCCTGGCTATTCCAGTTTTCTTTCTTTTTTTATTTTTTACTCTTTTTCTCTTTTTTAATATTATGAAATTTCATGAAGTTATTGCGAAAAATATTTTGAAAGGCGCGACGAATGATTATTATCGACCACCATTTGCCGAAGGCTATCAATGTGCTATTCGCCTTTCGCCATATCAATTTTTCGCGATAAAACACAACATTTTTAAAAAGCTTTTCGCCTTTTGAGTTGCCGATGTAACACACTGGCGTGCCGCTACCTGGGAATGTATATATTCGTTGAAAACGATCGTGGAGCGTCGGTCTCGACAGTGGGCGCCATCATTTCGAAAGCGATTAGTTTCTTTTTTCTGTTCTCGAAAATGTATAAGCCACTTCTTTATATAATTATCGACCTGCTCTCGACCATCATTCGATGCGCAACGCTAGGATCTAGTGTGAATTGACATTCGACGCTTTAAAGATACTTTCGCGAAAAGAAATTATCCTTTCTCTTCCGTTCTTTATTTTTTTTTTATTTTATAAGCAAAAAGAAAAAAGAAAAGAAAATGAACTAATTTCTAGTGTACAAGCTGATAAATTTTGTTGATACGATTATCTTATCGTGAAGAATAAATTATAAATAAATAATGCGGTAAAAGGATTCTCAGTTTAAGATCTCACGGAAAATCATTTGCAAAGTTTAAAACGAATGCAAGGGTGTTACTTTGATTTCCGAAAAGTCATCGAATCAAATCAAGTTTGATTTTATTACGAAGTCAACGGAAAAGAAAGGAAATTCCCTTAGAGGGAATATGACTTTGGCCGCGTACTATCGAACGTTGTCTATCAAAACGAACTCTCATCTATTTCCTAGAAATTTGAACACTTTCATTTATTGTCCTACCTCTGAGTTACTAATCAACTACAAAATCACTACCAGTCTTTCGCGTTGTATTTGTTTCGTTGCTAACTAATTTATTCTTTGGCTACTTGAAAATGAGGCCCCATGGTTGATCATCAAGTTACGTCAAGTCGAAATCTACAAACTTTAGCTACGAGTTATCCTTTTTTTTTTATTAACTTTGCACTAAGATCACAGTTTTACCGAACTATATTTCTCGAACGGCTTCCGCGAGAATTTCCTGCCCCGATATATGAAACGAGGGGAGCGAACGATTGTTTTTTTCTAAACTACGATATTGCACTTTCCGATATGTCAATGATACCTAGCGCTACACTGATTCGTTCGAAGATGAATCGTGGATATACAATATATTAGTACTTTCGATAAATCTTCTCTTTGCTTGTGAAAACAAAGGCAACGATATTTAGGTGTGAGGAATGTATACGAAGTAACATAACAATAACGGACGTATCCGATTAATAAATAAAATGCATTTTAACTTCCGCAGTGGACTAAAATCCTATTCTATTAAAGATACGTACTTTGAACGTGAATAATGATCCATACGGAATAAATACGTATCATATATCTATGTGGTCATTAATAATACACAGAGGATCTCCCTTTGGTAAGAAAATCTTTCCTTTCCACCTAACTTTAGAAATGCCCTATCTATTATTCTATCTAATAGGAAAAAGTATAATTTTGTTGATTAAGAATGGACTAAATGATGTTAATTTGTAAGAAATTATTCATAATAAATTATTTACAACAAATCATTGAATATATACGTATGTATATGCATGTATACATACACACACACACATGGATTAAGCGATGACAGTTATATGAAAATAATTAATATATAAAAACTATTTCTAAACAATTTTTTGTTATAAATTGTTATGTAATTATTGTTAACACAATAAAGAAATAAAAAAAATGGCTTTTATTCAAAAGCTTTACGACTTTCAGTTCCAAAAATAAGTAAAAGTGAATAAAAGTAAATGAAGGACTAATGCGTTGATTTAATGACGAAAATATTTTTTTAACTGAAGAATCGACACAGTGACATATAAATTTCTCGAGTCTATATAACTCAACTGATCATTGTAAATATTATTACGAACAAGTGTCTACTTACAAAAAATGAATAACAATATTTCGAAGGCGATATATTTGCAATGGAAAGTAATAGAAGATGGAACAAAATTTTTTGAATGTGCATTCTTTATTTATATATTTAAATACTATCTATATAATAAAATTGATTTCGTCAATAAAACGTTAACACGTATTCTTCTAAACATAGGTATATTAATGATTCAAACTAGAAAGAGACCCCCCCTTTTTCCATCGATAGATCCTTTTATGCGCTATCAATGACCACCATTCTCATAACATTTAGGTCACATACTGATTTTAACAAAAATGATTATATTATAGGTAAGGTTTTATAATACTACTAAATAATCAATGAAAAGTTTTAAATAACTTGATAAATAATAAAACCATAATTGCACGATAAGTATATCAAAAACTTGAAATATTTTCTAAACTTTTAAGTATAAAATAAAAGTATATAAACAGTAATGAAAGCTACATGTATTCTATGATGTTCCGTATGCAAAAAAATATGATCGATATAATAAATTTAGATTTGACTGATGAAAAAGAGAGAAAACCAAAAAGTATTAGAAAAATAATTATAGACACAGTCCACTGCGAGTGAGAGAACGCGACAAACGATCGAAAAAAAAATATATCGTCTTTGAATAACAGCAAGTTTACTGAGGCCGCGAAAGGGGCGTAAGAATTGTTGGTCATAGACCAATGGTTGGTATTGGATGGTATACGGCGCCCATGTCGAGGCCCTGCACGCCCAAAAGGTCGCTCATGGAATAAGTCAAAGTAGCCGCACGCGATGCGGCTGCTGCGGCAACTGGATGAGGCCTGTAGGAGGCAGCAGCGGCAGCGGCAGCCGCTGCGGCGAGTGCTCGCTTCACGTCGTAAACTGCCGCAGCAGTGGATGCGGCTGCGGCTGCGGCTGGTGTCGCAGCTCCAGCTGCGTATTGGTAGGTAGCGGGTGCGCTCGGTGCGGCGGTAGCGACAATCGGCGTCAGCAAGTGGTGGTGCGGGGTCCCAGCGGTAGCTGCCGCGGCAGCGTGTGCGGCTGCCGCGGCTGCTGTTGCCGCTGTACCCGTCGGGAGAGGATACGGCGCGTAACGATAGGTGGTGGGAGTGGGTGTCGCGACCATCACCAACTCACCGTATGCACCTCTGCCGGCCGCTCGGGTCTTCGCCAGGTTCGCCGGGAGCATCACTTCCTTCGGCTGTGCTTTCTTGCATTCCACCTTAAAAGTTCCATCCTCATTTAATCTTCTTTTCTCCTGTTATTTTCGTCGGCTCTACTGTTACTATTACTACTATTATACAGGTATTAATTATTACTGTAGATCAAGTAAGAATGTAACTCTGTAAAAATAAACTGAAACTATCTAGGAATAAATTCTTTTTTATGATTATTTATGTAGATATTTACTCGTATATAAATATATATATATATATATATATATATATATATATATATGGCACAGATGTAGATTTTAATATTTATGAAAATGAAACATTAAAACAATTTTTTTCATATCTTAATTAATCTTTGAATCGAAAAAGTTCCATTTCTACTTGAATATGGTACTTCTCGATCCGCCCAGGTGGCATCAATCATTCTCATTATCGTTCTAGAATCGGGACGAATAAATGAAAACGTCCATCAGAAAATCTACTATGATAGAGTATGTTTCTAGAAAGCTCTTATCGTCTTTGTTCACGTTTGATCTAATTCAGTTTATGCTCTTGTTCTCCTGCGTGAGCGTCAAATGCAAATAGAACCAGCGGGGTCCTTTTCGATTATACAAAAAATTAATTCCTTCCGAATATTTATCCGTTGACGAAAAAAGGAAAGTAAATACTGTTTAATGCCACGTGCGCAGGTATGTTGAATGAGAAAAAAAAGCTCTTTGACCAACGATGAACGAAGCTTTGTTGCCAGGCTGGCAACTCACCATTTTGTTGTTAATCTCGTGGAAATGAATCTCGCAGACTTTGTCGACCACATCCTCACTTTGAAATGTGACGAAGCCAAAGCCTGAAACAGAAAAATATAACCGATTAATAAAATTATTTATAACGGGAAAATGATAAAGTTACACGTTAAAAAATAAAACTTGTTAATCAACAATGGATATACATTAAAGTGTGATTGATTTGATAAAAAAAAATTCAAGTGATTACCCAGATAATTTATTTCGCTTGCATAGATGTATAAATAGAAAAAAAGAAATGTTCAGCAAGACGGAAATCAGCCAAAAGTCGTAATTTAATTAAGTATCACTGGTTATTAAAAACTTTGCATTACTCTATGGATGATTTTAATCTCGGCTCCATTGTGATGTGCTTCTCTCACAGCTAGTAATTCAGACTCGAGTTATTTTCGAAGTGCGAGTTATAGAAATACAGTGTACGATGTGACTTAAAATAAGCAGAAGTTAATGTTTCCTTAACGAAGGAAACTTCAGCAAAAATTGTAGGCATCTTAACTTACGAAGGAATGGAGGAGATTCTGGATTCTTGTATAGCTTATAGGTTAGAGTACAATCTCTAAAATCTCCGACTCAGTCGACTACAATTAAAAAGAGTCAATCCCTTGAAAACTACGAAAAGGATAACAAATCCGAAAGATACTAGTATAGACGAAGAAAACATCGAAATAAAATTTGTTAAATTACTGCCTTTTAATATATACAATAAATCAGGTAAATTAACTATAGACACTTTTAAAACAAATAATATGAAAAATTGTATGGTTAAGAAAAAATCAATTTGAATGAAGATCTTTTGTATGTAGGAAACTTAGAAGAATATAAACAGATTCGCGAATTATTCAAAAGAAATAACATTGAATATTTTATGTAACTTCTAGAATGGAAAAAGTCACCACTATTAAAAAATTTAAAAGGTGATTTTAACCCGAAAGTAATTTTGGCTGAATTAAACAGAATAAATAAATTCGCTATTGTTATAAAATTCTACACAAAAGAGTAAATATTGGAAAACAAATTTTTATAATGCAATTAACTCCAGATAGTAAAATAAATAATCTTAAAAAAATTAAAATTCTCTTACATTCGATTATAATCGAATAACATTATAACAAGGGAAAAAATACATGAAAATATAGTGTATAATGTGGAAGATTGGAACAAACTGCAATCTGAAATACAGATGCAACGTTAAATACAATCCAAGACAATGCCACTCGCGTCATGTGACAACAGCAATGCAAATTGCACAGCAGTGTATATTGCACAAACTGTAAAAATTTTTGTCAATCCGCTTCATACGAAGAATATCTAAAGCTTAAGGAAATAAAACAAAAAATTGATGAGAATAAGGGCATTACATATCCAAAAAATTAAAAAAATGAACAGCATTAACAACACAGTCGTAGCGAACAAATTATTTAGTTTTCAACATAGATGCTTTATGAAATGATTAATCAAAGTAGCAATCATCAAAATATATCACCAATAGAATTGAGAAATTAAAAATCATTTCTATCAATATTAATTCTATTATAACAAAAGAGAAGAATATCACTTCTGGATTGCATTGAAATTAACAAACCGGACTTCGTATTTCTATATAAAACGGAATTAAACCCAAAACATACTTAGGTTTAAAAATTATAACAAGATAAAGAACGACAGGTTCAATGTTGAACAAAATGGCGAAACAACAATATTAATTAGAAAAGATATTAAATAGAAATTTTTCCAAAAAGAGTGTATCAAAAACTGTATTAGTCTTAAAAAATTGATAATAGAAATTAATATTCAAAATAATAAGCTTTATCTCGTAGTGACATATTTAGTCGGTATTTGTAAAATAGAATTCCTAATAAAATTAAAAATCTTATTAGAAGCATTGCATCTTGAAGATGTCAAAAATTATGTCGTGTTAGCTGGTGATCTAAACGTTAAAAACCATTCAAAACCATTCTATTATTAATTTCACTAACAATAAAAGGAAAAAGGATTATAATATCGATATATCGAAAATAAAATCCTCTAGAAAATAGATTCTTATAGATTGGTAGTCCCATTCTTTCCGAAGAAAAATTTCTTATGTAAACATCCGTCTAACAGACTTAAATTTTACAATTTATACGGACAAGGGATTTTAAATATATTAGACTATGACAATAATTACAGAGCTCTACTAGATATATGGGCAGAATCTGTCCATCAGATCTATTAAATAGAGCTCTAATAGACATATCAACAGAAAATCCAAATCTTCTTAAAATAGATAAACAAATGCCAATTATAAAATACAAATTCAATAAAGCGGACTGAAATTTCAAAAACAATTAACAACGGCACGAGCTTACCTAATGACAGAAACTTAGAAATAGTCTATAATATCTAAAAAAAATAAAAAACTAAACGAAAAACTAAATAGAAATATAACGAATATACAAACAAGCACATAATATTCAGTGCCACATATCTCTAACAAATTCAATTAAATCGATACCGAAATTCAGATATAATAGCAATATGTCTATAAATTACAATAAAATGCGTTTTAAATATCAGCTAATTTCTATTGAAATTAACGTTAAGAAAAATATCAAGAAATATTGGTGGTTATAAATATTTAAAATGATTATAATATAAAAACAATCTAAGATTTCATCATATTTAGTATTTTGATGTACATTCATAGATAAATTTCTTTTTCAACTATTAAAGACTTATTATATAGTTTTTCTTTATTTGCATTTTTTATACTTTCAATATCGTAAATAATATTGTAATATTCATATTATTATCTTCGTTTCATTTTCATAAATATTTACAGCATTAAGTACAATGCTAGATCAAAAATAGCATTAGGACGCAAGTGCTCACCCAGAGCTAATAGCTTGCAATATATTTCCGTTTAATTGTTATTATTTTTATATGTTTTTATAGAATTATGTGTATCTTTTTTTTTTATTTTATTAGTGAAAATAAGAAGTAGAAATAAACGTACGTACAAAAAAAAGTGATTTGAATAATGTACGCGAAATCCAGGAATCCATCGAATCCCGTTATTCAAAGTCCATTTTTTCATACGTCTGCAAAATTTTGATAGACGACTCGTAATTAAAGGAATTCAATAGTCAGCAACGCTCCAACGTTGAGAGATGACAAAAAGACATTCTTCGTGATAGTTATTGTTCGTTAGAGCTATATTACTTAGAGCAAGAAACAAAAAAAAGAAACTACAGTTCGTAAAAGAAAAACCGTATTTTACTTTCTTAATTCTTTTTTTTTTTTGAAAAGGATCATCAATTTTCGTTAAGTTTTATATGTTTAACATCGTTTAAACGTTTGTGTTGATCTTTCATAAGAAAGTAGATTTCTTGGACAAAAAACATAAGACTGGTTGAATTATCTGACGATCAAAATCATTCTTCATGTTGCCACTTTCGGTTCTTCCTTTCCTCGCACTCATTGCCTACTCTTACCACAATTCCTGTCCTTTTTCTGCTCTCTCCGTTTTGTACTTTTCTTCAACCACCCGACCATCTCCTATACTATGGGAAGCGCTGGTGATTAAGTTATAAACTTGGCAAGACGTCCATTTGAACGAGGAAGGGGCTTACTTCATTTATGTAATTTATAGTACTTCGCCAGTCAGCTAACTCCGTAGAGCACAAGCACTCGCCTCGTACAAAGGCCATGCTCTGACACCGGTAACGTTTAACTACTTCCCGCGCTGAAGTCTACCAAGTACCTTATATAGTCTAGATCTAAGCTGGAGCTATGGAATTTCTAGCCATGGAATTTCTTATCCCGATATAACATGCCTTTTAATTGAACAATGTATTTTCGAATTTTTCTTTTTTCTCATAAGAAGACTTTGGAAATTTATGACAATGTTATAACTTTCACGCGGTATAACGTAAAAAAAAAAGAAATTATCAATTTACCATACCCATTCCACGATCCCAAAGAATTCCTTTATAGTCTCGAAAATGAGGAAGTATAATCAAGAAAGCATAAGAAAGAGAAGAGATTGGAAGGATGTAGTCAGTGATCTAAAGGAATCTCAATAAAATTCATTAAGAGGAAATATGCCTTTCAAATTCGAATTTTTATAAAGTAATTTATTTGTATGGTATGACCATGCGAAAAAATTTATTTTCACCCAATGTTGTACAAAAAAAAAAAAAGAAAAAGAAAGGCAGATAGTGCTAGATGATCGTTTTTCGTATAACGACTAATAAGAAAAAATGCGTGCTCAGCTGTTGAACGCCTTGTCAAATCTTAAACGTTTTCATTTCAATAAAAAACATATCCTAAGATATTGGACCCGGACTCCGAGCCTTTTCTACTATCATTGTCGTAACACCAAAAAACTTTCTTAAATGATCCATAAACGATCGTTATGGCATGGAATCACAATAAATTTATGCATTACGATGCGTCTTTGTGTTCTTTGTCATTTTTATTACTTACGCCATCCTTTTGTGCCGAAATGCATCGTTTTATAAAGGAACGATAAATAAAGGATCCACTAGTGAAAGGCGTAATGCGATAAGAAATTAAAGAGGAGCTCGACTCCATTGTTTCCCGATCGATCGTGCGATTAAATACCAGATGCCGTAGGTAAAATGCATCTCTCGACAATCCGAAGTGTAGCGGCCGACTATGGAGAAAAGAAAAAAGGGAGGAGGGTTTGTGAGAGGAAGAGGGATAGCTTCTTTCGCTTCGTTCGCGCGCGTCGACGCCATCTTCGAACTTTAACTTTTTCCATCTTTTTCTGGTCTCGACTCTTACTGTCGACCCCTTGGTCTCTTTCTCTCTTTCTCTTTTCTCTACTACGTCCCTCTAACTCTCGAGTATAATGCGACCCCGTCATTGTACCAAGCGAGCATGTTAACGTTTAAATGCCAGGCGGCTGGTAAGCGCGTTTTAGAATTTTACCGTGCATTGAGAGTAGTAAAAGGTTCTTCTCAAAAGGCACGCTGGCAGAACGATTTGAAACTTGTAAATGGATACGGCTTAGACCTCCGTTCTCTCTTTCTTACTTTAT